ATATATTTATAATTTTTTTATGTTTTGAAATGATTTGACAAAATTTTTATTTTATGGATTTTTATCGTGGGTTGCTCCAGTGACCCTAATGTGACACCTCGGGTCGAATTGGGCCACCCGTATCGATTTAGGGGTGTTACAAGTACTTATGTTACTTTTATGGGTATCGATACTCCTCTAATGTATAAATACTAGAATAGATTTCAAAGTCCAATAAATTAATTAGGTATCGATACCACCATGGCGGTATCAATATCACCCTCATGGATATCGATATTCACCTTGAGTAATGATATCAATTCTAGACTTGATGTTTGAATAATTCTCTCTGGTATTGATATCATGTCATCGATATCAATATCCTACGAACATATTCGATATCATGAAGAACAATATTGATACTCCAGGATAAATATTTTCAAATTTTTACACTCGTTCAACCAATAACGATATTGCGTGAATAACATCAATACTACAGCCTAAAAATTAGCATCTACGACTTAGAAATCACTCTTAAATTCCCTTTACATGCTACCATTAAGGCCAACAATTATTTCTAATTTCCAAAGGGGTCCTATAGGATTATTTAGAATCTAAATATCTTATGTTAAACACCAAATTAAGCATTCCAAGTCATAACATGCATAACACTCAAAACATGCTTCCAAACGATAATATAACACAAAGCATCATTTTTATGATAGTCATGCATGGTATTACAAGGGATTAGAGATACAATACCTTGTTCCAAATCACCCAAGAAGGCTTCTAGCTCAACTTCAAACAATATTTTCCTTAACTCTCCTTGCTCTTTTGTTAATCAAGTAAAAAGAAAAGAGGATTCTAATCATTACCAAATACCAAATAATGCTAAAGAACGAATTAGAAACATAAATATACTCAATAAACTCTTTTAGCTATCCCTAAGGCTTAAAACCTTACTAAAACCCTCCTTGAGCTCATGCTTCCAAAAATGAGTGGTATGTTGTTTAAATTGAAGTCTTTGGAATTCTATAAAGGTTTCTTACCTTAAAGAAATTGAGATTCACTCTCAGAGATACTAGGATGAAGCTTGGTTTCAAAAGGGAAAATATAGAGGTAAGTTTAAGGAAGAAGAAAGCTTAAAGAAATTTGGTGAAAAACGATTCATTTCCCCATTAATATTTAGACGTTGATATCATAAAAATCAACTCAAGTCAGCCATAAAAATTATTTACCTTTCTAGTCCCTCAACTTATAAGCCATCATAAAAACTTCCTTGTTAGGCTCAATTGAGCCCAACTCTCACCCCAAATGAGAATAAAAATGTCTTAAGTCCAATTAAGCTCTCTTACCGACCTAAGGTTATCTCAGATCAACGCTCATACATTGATTCAAAATTCTAGTCGTTACAAAATCAAATATTGTTATAAACTTAAACATATTTAAAATAATAAATTTTAAAAAATTTAAGGCCTTTAAGTTGTTATCATAATAATGATGTTAATGGAATTAAGATACAATCAACAATTGTTTATGACATATCAAAATGGTTTTTTTTCTCATTTTTATCATCATTTAAAAAAAATATTTTGATCACTGTTAAGAATTTAAAAGCAGAAAAACAGCGAAAACGAGATCAATAAAGAAAAGATCACACATAAGAGATGATATTTAATGTGGTTTACTTTGTTTATATCCATGAATGAAAGAATAATAATTCATTATAAATTAAAAGATAACGGATGTTACAAATATATGATATCACATATATCTTAAAAGTCGTTATCTATACCAAATCTCGGAGTATCTCAAATAGCCCTCTCAATATCCCTACAAAACTCATCTTTATAACATAAACTCAAAAATTTTAAAACTATAAAAAGATTACATCTCTCAATTATTGCATAATTCTAAAAGCTAATACATAGTCTCTATTTATAAACTCAAATACTTAGTCATCAAGAATTTTTATTCAATAAGAATTATTACTAAATAATCTTAGGCAAAAGGATACTTAAACCCCTCTTACTTAAAAAAAAATTATTGTGGCCCTCAACTTTTTTTTTGCACCCAATGTGACCCTCCAAGTTAGGGAAAAATCTCAATGTGGTCCTTTAACCAATGTTTTTCGACATTGACCAATGACTCCGTTACTTTGTGCTAACATGGTACGTTAAACATGCCAAAATCCTTTTTTTCTCTTCAATTTTGATCACTAAACTTCAAAAGTTTTCAATTTAACCACTCAACTTTTGAATTACTCATATTTTATTCATCATGATTTATTTTATTAATATTTATGTGTGACGTGACATTTATTATTCTTATTTCATTAATATATTATTAAAATAATATTAATTAAATTAAAATTTTAAAATTATATTGAAATAAAAAAAATTTCCCAAAATTATAATTAAATTAAAAAAGTATTCCCTCTGCTTTATATATTTTCAAATCTCCATTCTCCTCCTTTATCCTCTCATTTCATTTTTCTTCCTTTTCAACCAAAGATTTTTTTTTTCCTTTCATTACCTGATCAAGTAGCTCATCCCTAGTTTTTTTTTCAATTTTTTACAAGTTCAATCTGAGTTCACCGAATTTGGCAATGAAAGAAAAAAAAGAAATATTTGGTTGAAAATAAAAAATACCACATCATACATAAATGTTAATAAAATAAATCATGATGATTAAACATGAGCAATTCAAAAGTCGAGTGATTAAATTGAAAATGTTTGAACTTTAATAATCAAAATAGAAGAGCAAAATAAGAGGACCATATTGAGTTATTTTCTTGATTTGGAAGGCCAGATTGAGAGAAAAAAATAGGATGTTGGTATGCTTAACGTGTCACGTCAGCACAAAGTAACGGAATCGTTGGTCAATGATGGAAACAATGGTTAAAGGACCACATTGGGTTTTGTTTTTTTTACTTGGAGGGTCACATTGGGTGTAAAAAAAAGTGGAATGCCACATTGATTTTTTTTTGAGAAGTACAAGGGCTTAGGTACCCTTTTGCCATAATCTTATAATCAAGTAATCTACAACCAATTGAATTATAAAAAAATCAACTTAATTTCTAATTAGAGATTGTCAATATCTTATAATCTTTCCATTGACACAAATTTCATTAAAATATTAATCATTGAATCTTCAACAACTTCAAAAAAATTCGTTGAAGCACTGCCACCAAGTCTTCAACAACTTCAATTCTTACTAATATCTATTGAAAGAACGCTAGATTGATTGAGAATTACTCCCCCTCAATTGAAAATTTGTTGCAGTAAAATTTCTCTTATATGTCTTCAAAATAGCTAACAGAATTCACAAAAAATTTCAATAAAACTCTATAACTCAAACCATGGCTCTTGATACCTTTTGTTAGGAATTTGTAAGGGAAAAAAATAAGTGAAGAGAGATAAATATAGAAAAGATCACACACATGAGATGATACCTTTCTTCGATGTCTTTCACAACAACCTTAGACATCAACAAAATTGTCTCATACCATCTACAACTTTACCAGTTTAGATTTTCTCAAAACTTATTTATAACTCGCATAATTAAACCTAAAAATCTATCATATTAGGAGTTTGTCGGCTTTCTCAAATTTAAGTTATTGAGGCGTTCATTTGAAAATCCAGATGGTGAGAAGAACATTTTTAAGATGACTTAAAATTAGTTGCAAATATCAAAAGGAGAAATGAACTGTAAAAATAGTTCATTTCTTATCGTATACAAGAGGAAGAAAGGTTGAAGTATAATAAATTTAAAATACTCATTTGATAAGTGCATTTAAGGATAAGGACATGAAAATAAAATATCATAATATAGTTATCTAGGGGTCAACTTAAAACATATGTTGTCAAGAGATTTTCTCTTTTGTAACAATTCAGAACTTAAATAAACTTTAAAAATAGTAAACAACTATTTTGATTATTCTAACCGATCTAAACATTATAAGTTTCATGATATTATAATTAAAATTATTTTTCAAAATAAGATCTATAATATTTTTTTGAGAATTTTAAATTTGGATAAAGAATAAGATTTGAGATACGTTTTTTAGGATATATTGGATTATAATTCAATTCTTATGTTTTCATATTTCATTAATCAAAAAATAAATCTGGAACTTCAATAAAATAATGTTGAACAATTCTCTATTTGAATTGAGATAATTATTTTAAAAGAATAAACTTAACACTTTAAAAAATAAGTGTCACTAAGAAGACCCACTAGATAAGAGAAATATTCTTTTAGATTATTATATTGTATTTTTTCAAAAATAAAAATAATGATATCGATAGAATGATAAAAGATGATCTAATCGACTTTCATCATATCATGTAAGGTCCGTTTGTTTCACTGAAAACAGTTTTCGGAAAATGAAATCTGAAAAATAAATTACATTTCTGAAAAACATTTTTCTATTGCTTGGATGCTACATTGTAAAATGTTTTACACTGTTTGATTAATTTTTTTAAAAAATAATTTTTAGAATATGTTTTTAATAAACAAGCACACATATTTTATATTTTTTTTATTTTTTACCTTTTAGTTTTATTAAGTAAATTTTATTTTATATAATTATATTTTATAAAACTTTGAATTTAAATGTTTTATTTATATAAGTACGTCAAATTAAATTTTTAGATAATATTAATAATTTATGTTGATTGTGTTATAAATATAGTATTTTAGGTTTAAAATATTCATGATACTTATTCATTAGTATTTTTAGAATTAAATTTCAACGTATAATTAACATTATGTAGGTTTAATTGATATAATCTTAATAATTTATTAAAAATATATTATCAAAGTTTATAATTAATAGTACACCACATTAAAACAAAAATATTACATAACATTGTAATAATAATAATAATAATGTCAAAGTGTATAATTAATATTACATAATATTAAAACAACAATATTATCCAACCGTAGTACAAAGTCTAATTCATAATTAGTACTACAACACATTAAACCTACAATATTGTTGAAGTCTATAATTACCAATTGCATGAGATAAAGATACCAAAACATCAGTGGACGAAGGGAATGGACCAAAAGTAATGACAGGAACTGAATTCTACATCCCATCCTGAGATCAATCTACTAGAGAACAAGTTTGTTTGACAGTTAAAGGGACATATAAATATAGAATAGTGTTGAGCAGGTTTTTATTCATTTATTATTTAAGAAAGGAAAGCCATTACACCTCGCAGCGCCTTGTCGTGTCAGCTAGAATCCCCAATGCCTCTCCATTTGGAAGAACTGCCAGAACCCAAGGATGTGATTGATACAAGGATGTAGTTTCAGGACCATAACCCCTGGCATCCGTGTTCCATGTAAAAACCTACAAGTATTAATTTTCATTAGCAATAAAAGGGGAGGAAAATATCCTTCATGCAGTCATGTCCTAAAGAAAACTCACTCGTTTTCCTGTTCGCTCTAACTGTCCACTAACTTCTCCAGTTCCATAAACTGAGGTACCAGCGGGAAGCTTAACAAGAAGCAAGCCACCAGATCAGTTAACAAATAAAGTGAACAAGAGAAGAGACTTAACTCTAAAAGAAAAATACACCATCAAAGTGAAAACAGAATATGCTGAATAATAAATGCACAATGGTTTGCAGAGGCAAAATATTCTAAAATGCAAAGTAGTAATAGACCTCAAGTTTGACAATCTGCTGTCCTAGACAACACTCAAAGGAAAGGATGTACAAAGGAGCCTTGTTGCTCACAATTAGTACATCCCATTTTTCATTTTCGACAAACCAATAATTTCGCAACAAAAAGTTAAAACCAGAAGCAAGAATGAATATGATCGAGAGAAGCAAACAATCAAATAAACTAAATTTAGAGCAAAAGAAGGTAACAGGAAATGAGAGTGATGAGACTGCATGGAAAGGAATAAAATCAAAGGTGAAACTGAGGCATGCTGTGACAGTTAAAGCAATGGAACTTTAAGATTGAAGTGATCCGATTATGGTTTCTACTTAACCGTCTCAGGAGAGAGAAGCATTTAGTCTTAATTTGTTTTCTGTGAACAATAGTCCTTTTTTTTTATCATCATCTACCTCGTTGGTTCTGTGAAGTATTGCATCCCATTTTTCATTTTCGACAAACCAATAATTTCGCAACAAAAAGTTAAAACCAGAAGCAAGATTGAATATGATCGAGAGAAGGAAACAATCAAATAAACTAAATTTACAGCAAGACAATAAGAATCAATTCAAGGCTCTCAATCCGAAATCCACGTCTCAATCTCCATGCAAAATCAAAATGAAAGAAAAAGAGAAATCGAACTAATTCCACTCAAATCAAAATGAAACAGAAAAAACTAATTTGGATAATATTCCCCCAACAAGTTGAAGAACAGTGTATAAGAAGAAGAAGAAACGTGAAAGCAGATATCAAACAAACCTGAAGAAAAATTTGGTTGTTGATGAGGATGACGATGGAGACGAATTAGAGTGAGTAAATACGCAGCGACAAAAATATAATTTCAAGGCTCCTTCCCCCGTGATACTGCTGCTAAGGGCCACTGCGGACATTTCCATTTAAGTGCAATAAAAATCTGCAAACTGCAAGCTCCACTATCACCAACTGCAGAAAATGACCTAAACATATATCACCTGAGAAGATGACCGTCCGCCGGAGTCAACAAACACCGGTGAGAAGAAGGCCACTTGATGGAATGATTTTAGGTGTGAAGAGATTTAGGGAAGGGAAAATGAAGGAACGTTAGGGAAGGGAAAACGACTTCCCTTTTTTAAAGGTTAAGTTGTTTTACGATGAGAAGTTTAATTTTAGGCTGACCATAAAACATTCTCAGATGACTTTCGTGCTTTCCTGAACCAAACAGACCCTAAATTTTGACTGTAAAAGTGTATTGATTTCATATAAAAAAAAATTAAATCTATAAAAGATAATAAAATTGAAAATTTTATCTCGTAATTTGAAGGTGGAAAGTAAGTTAATTAATTGTAAATGAATATTTAAAATTAAGATTGATGCAAATGGATAATAAAATTAAAAAATGATGTCATTATTAATTATGTATTTTTATTATACCAGTGTTAATGGACAATTCAAGAGATGACAGTTCATAGTGGTTTAGATGGAGGGAAAATGTTTTATCTCATTATTATTTTTGAAAAAAAAATATTATTTATATTCCATGCATAATAATTATATTAAAATCACTTAAATATTTCATACTTAGAAACTGGAAAATTAGGGTTTCAATTCATTTTCCTCGGTCCTATTTTGAAGAAAAAAATATTTCATCCCAAAACCTAGATCTGATAATACGATTTAACCGCCTCCCATTCGACTCAAAATTCATCTAAGCCATAATCTGATTATATTCATAAACAGTAACCAGATCCATTTATCAATCTATCTATTGCAACTAAAACATTTATAAAAAATTAAAATCCAGTAGCGAATATACTAATCTGATTGCAATATCAATTTAAGAGGAAAAAGAAAGAACAGAAACAAATCTAAGAACTGGTAAATTTGGTAACCGCTTTGGTTCCTTCAGAGACAGCATGTTTAGCCAATTCACCAGGCAAAACCAATCTGACCGCCGTCTGGATCTCCCTCGACGTAATCGTAGGCTTCTTGTTATATCTGGCCAATCTCGAAGCCTCCTGTGCTAGTTTCTCAAAGATATCGTTGATGAAACTGTTCATAATCCCCATGGCTTTGCTCGAGATCCCGATGTCTGGATGAACTTGTTTCAAAACCTTGAAGATGTAGATCTTGTAAGTCTCGGTGCTCTTCTTGATCTTCTTCTTCTTCTTTTCTCCGCTGTCCTTTGAGATCTTTTTCTCAGCCTTCGGCCTCTTCTCTGCCAACGCCGGAGATTTCTCCGCTACTGGCTTCTTCTCTGCAGGCTTCTTCTCGGCTTTCGGTGCCATGTTTTGTGGGGAAGAAAAATGGACTTTGTGTGTGTTGAGAAAGAGCGAATTGAGGGGAGTCGGCGGATTGAGATTTGGGATGGGGGTTGTTTATATAGAGTTGTGGGATGAAATTTTATTGGTTGCTTGAGGTTCACGCGGATCGGTGACGTGGCCTTGTACGTGTCGATTAGATGTGAGGCTAGATGTCACAGTTGAAATAGTACTATTTAATTGGATAAACTATACGGAAGTCGGTTTTATTTTGTCTTCATGTTATTTTAATCATCAAATTTAAAAACATTATATTTTAATTAATTATGGTATTGATTTATTATATTTATTAATTTATTGACCTAATATTAAAAATAATTAAAACTAAATTCTAAATTTTAAATAAAATATTAACTAAATTTTCATTAATAAATAATTTTTAAATTTAACAAATTATCAATGTCTTAAAATATTTTTATTTAATATAATATTTCATTCTCTTAAAGTTCTCCTCCCTATTGTCAACTCTTTTTTTTTAATTTAAACCATAATTCATTCATTAGAAAGTGCCTCTACAATTACAGTAGCTTCAATACAGACTTGAAGATCACATTCAAAGTACAATTTAAAAGTTTCTCCTCGTATTATATTTTATTTAATTAAAATTATTCAATATTTTTTATCTTGATCATAAATGAATATAGTTTTATAAAAATGAGAGTCCATTTTAATTGATAAAAATATTTTATTTCGGATTATTTTTTTTTACATAAATTTTAAAGTTTTTTTTTGGAACATTTAGTTATATTAGTTTTAATTGTTATTAAATTTTTAAATTGAAAGATTATGTGAGAGTAGGGATGAGCATGGGTAGGGTTTTTGGTCCACCCGACCCGACCCGACCCGAAAACAAATGATCCTCCACCTGAGACCCGATCATATCCGACCAAAATAAAATTTCACCCGACCCGAATCCGACCCGACATATAACTTAGAAACCCGACCCGAAATAATAATAAAAATATTATTTTTATTCAATAAAAACAGTGATTTAATTGGAAAAAATATATATATAGAGGGGTATTATTGTAATTATTCCTAAATATATAAGATCAAATTATATATTTTTCCGGGTCAGGTTGGATATTTTTCACCTTAAATCCGAATCTAATTTTTTAAAAAAAAACTACCCAATCAGGTCGGGTCGGATCAGAACCCGTCGGGTTCGAGTCCCGTGCCAACTCTATTTGAGAGTTATACTCCTATTAAATTATTTTCTTATTATATTTATATATGCCCAGTCAATTATATTTTTCTGAATTAGTCATTATGACCGAAAAGGAAAATAGCGTTGAAAGATAAGTTAATTGAATAGCTATACCGGAGGAAATAAGATACCAGTAAGGCATAAGGCAAGACTCCTGATAAAAGACACACGATATCAAATATTCCAAAGCAATAGAAGAAGTGAACTTTTTCCCCTATTGTCAACTTTGAACCATTACATATTGTCTCTCTAATAATCTTTTCGATGAATTAAAATCATCATCACAATTTTTTTTTCATCTTATCTCATTTTATCCAATCAAACTTTTTTTAAAATTAACTCAAAAATTATAAATTCAAATGTGAGTTTTAAAATCTTTTTCCATCGAATTAACGTTATTCATTTTTCAGTTAATTTCAAATGAAATATATTGTGTACTAAAATCGTCATCACAATTTTTTTTTTCATATTTCTCATTTTATCCAATCAAACATTTTTAAAATGAACTCAAAAATTATAAATTCAAATATGAGTTTTAAAATATTTTTCATCGAATTAATATTATTCATTGTTCAATTAATTTCAAATGAAATATATTATGTGCACTAGAATGATCAAGTGTCCCCTTTAAAATTTAAATTTTCTTTAATTATTAATTTCTTATATTTATTATGTTAATCTTAACATTTAATGTGTATTTATATATATTCCTTTAAAATTTATGTATTTATGTATTTATTTATACATGTTTTGCATTTTATCTATATTTTTAATTTTCTGACTGCCGGAGGTCTTCCACGGAAACTACTCTCAACCTGACGTTAGGGACAGCCTACTACACTACCTCCCCCTTACCCCATTGCATATGGAAATTGGGTTTTGTTGTTGTTGTCGTCGTCTAAATCGTTCAATGATAGTAACCACCTCTTTATTGGGATCGTCTGTCGGAGGCAACGATTATCAAAATCCGACATAGGTAGACCATTTTCTTCTCTTTTAGCTTTCTTCTTTTGTTTATGACCTTTGTTCTTTGTTGTCGTTGCTTTTCGGTTGAGTCACGATTTTGGTTTGGGTGGTGGGCTTAGAGGTTTGGTTTTGTTTCGAGAAGATGTAGACAGCAACTCAAGGGAGCTATATGATGGCTCCAGCTGCAGTGAGAAACCGAGCGGTGGCTCTGGGTGTGTTAATGGTTGAGGTTCGGTCGGCAGCAAGTATTGTTGGGATTTGGGTAGATGTTTGATAAGTTCTATTGGAATTTGTATATCTAAGAGAGAATATTGAACATCAAAATTTAGTGTCGTACGTATAATATAGTCTATATCATAATAACAGTGAGAATTATCCAAAATCATCAGTGCGTATTTTCATATTTTTCCATCTAGAGACTGTATTTTAAGGGATAACCACGAGATTACTTGGGTGGTGAATGCAGTCTGCAGTGCGCTATGTAGTTATAGCAGAAACATGTTCACAAAGATATATAATGGCAGAAACGTGTAACAACTACCGCCTTAAGCTCTCCACTATGTAGTCCGCGTATAAATCCCTATCAACCAAAAATAATGTTGATATGCAATTAAAATCCAGAAACTACAGGATTGAATCAAGTACTTAAAGCCTATTCAATCGAATCAAAGATATAAAACAATCACTTACATGGAATGCTTGATCACCTCATATGCAGTTGAGGCGGGCAGAAAGTCATTAACAGCAACTTCCTTGTTCTCGTTCTTTTTGTCTGAAAATTATTTATAACGGAAAACACAAGTTATAAATGCAACCAGCAGTTTAACATGGATTATCTTTGCTTGTAGAACTTACATCAGCACATGATTTGCTACTAAGAAGGATTAAACTTACAGTCTTCAAAGAAGCGGCGAATCTCAGCTAAACGGTGAGGGGGAAGTTCCTTGATATCATTGTAGTGACGGTACTCAGGATCATCAGCACACACGGCAATAATCTTGTCATCTTTCTCACCCTACATTCATGGTTTCAGATTTCATTTTTCTCATCTGGTCTTAAAAATTGGACAAGTGTTTTAGATTTTTAATCTGTTGCTAATGCATACCTGGTCAATCATAGGCATCAGACCTATAGCTTTAGCCCGAAGAAAGCACCCCGGGAGAACGGGCTCCTGCAATTCATTGGTGTATTGCAACAAAAAGTTAGACCCTTTGAATATGCATAACATTTTAGGGAAAAATAAAATAGGACCATGCCGATCTCAAAATGCACTGGAAAAATCAAAGGGGCATAAGACAGTTTAAGAGCATGAAACATGTCATGCACCCATGCATTAAACTATGATACTTTCAAAATGAAAATGAGAACCAAACGGCGTACCTGCATTATGATCAGGACATCCAAGGGATCTGCATCTTCACAAAGAGTGCGAGGAATGAAGCCATAGTTGTGAGGATACACAACTGATGAATAAAGAATACGATCAACCTACAAATTTATGTACCTTTCATCAGCAACCAATTAAGAATCTCATAGGTATTGCAACTTCTGTAAGTAGTAGGTAGAGATTGGTAATTACCTTGATCAAACCAGTTTTCTTGTCAAGTTCATATTTCACCTTGCTTCCTTTCCCAATTTCAACCACCTGAAAACATTAACCACGTCTTCAATATAAAAATAACAGAATAAGAACACTTAACTGTTTTGCCTATATCTTTTAATCTTAATGGAATTGCACAAATGTTGATTCTTCAATCCATTTCTCAAAAAAATCCCAAGCATGATCAATTAGGTCACTTGGCCGTGTCAAAAGATCTAAAAGGCCAGATGTTTATAAGAAATATGCTAGGGAAAATTAAATGGTGTACATTTTTGTAGGAATGTCTAAAGCATCTCATCCCATCCCAGACATGATATTCAAAATGTAAAGTTAGTGTACTTACGCAGTTAAAAAACGTAGGAGCTCCAGGTCCTATATGAAAAGGTAGAATATAATTAGATTTACTAAAAAGGCAATTAGAAAACCCAAAACTATACACAGCTAAAGCTGACATTGCATACCAATCTCAAGATCATGCCATGGGTGAGCAGCGACGGACCTCCTGGTCATTGAAGAAAGGATCCTTTCATTCAAAGGAGGATGTGACGAATTTTGAGAGTCGGAGGATTTGGCTGGAGGCTCAATTGGTGAAGCCATCACTGTGAGAAATAATTTTAAAGTTAGAAATTAACATGTTTAATAAACGGTGACCATAGAAAAATCATAGAGTTGGTACATTTCTTTTTTCAAAGATCATCTAGTTTAACCAATCAAATACTTGTAAAAATATGCAACGAAAACAAAATTGTCGCCACACTTCGGCGATTTTCTTCTTTGAAAGCGGAAGATTTTCTTAGCAGCAGAGTATCGTCAAATATAATAATAAGAAAACAGTTTAACGTAGAACTCTCAACAATCCAAAAGAAAACTGCCAAATCTTTTAAAAGAAGAATAAGAATTGTCCTAATTGACTCTTTTACTCTGTTTGGAAAAACAATCAAGACGATTTCCTAGCAGAGTCCCCTCGCTCACAGTCGATTTTTTTATTTCTTTTCTTTTTAAAGAAAAACGTTTGGTGACAATTTAATCTATAGCTTATAAAACACAGATCTACAAACTACTACCACTTGAATCTACAAAAGAAATGAGAAAAATACAAAATCAAAAGGCAATAAAAAAGTTAAAAAAATTATTTATCCTCAACATCAACGCCAGAGAATTTCTTACCAGAAAGAGAAAAGAAAAGCAACTCAAGAAAAGTATCTCTGATTCAATGCTACAACCTAGTTACAACTTAAAAGCCAGAAAAATCGTATAAAAAAGCAGAGCATAAAAGCGAAAAAAGAAACGAAAATTCAACGACGTAACCGTCTAGAAACAGATTTGAAACGAAACCTGCAGCGGTTTCCAGTTCTGAAGAAAACGAAGCTTTTGGAGGATCTTGATGAAACACGCGGATCTCAAGAACATGGAGAGCAAAGAATGCCGTGCTCGTTCCCTCTCTCTTTCTTCGTTGCTACTTAAAGGCAACCCCCTCCCCCCAAATTAAACGGAAAATGAGAAAAAAGTTAACATCCGGTGTGACAGAGATATAACAAAGAGGGATCGCGGATATTCTGCGGCAGCAGAATTAATAGTGGGCCCCATTTTCTAATATCTAAGATTACGCGTCCTCTGGTGATTGGGTATTAAGGTGAAGCGAATAAATTCATGAATTTCGTGTTGCTTTTTTAATATTAACTTTTAATTATTTTATATAAATATTATAAAGGTATAAAAAATGCTTTATAATAATATTAAGATCCAATTGACATCTTTTTCTTTTTTTTAGATTATGAGTTTAATATTTATTAAGAGTAAATTTTTTCTTTCTTTTCCCTTAATTAGAAATTATTGAAAAATTGTTTATTATTATCTAAATTACCAATTTTGTCCTCTAAAAATATTATATAAATTAAATAAACAAAATATTATATGACAAATAATTTTATGTTATTAAGAGATGATTCTGAACAAATATTAAAATATGAGAATAATTTAAAATATTATATAAATGAAATCAACAAATGACATAAAAGAGAAAATGGATTTAAATAGTTTGAAAAATTAATAAAATTATATAATCATAAATCCCATAAAATATATTGATAGGTTTGGTTTGAACAGTTAACGTGGGAGCATGGTAGGAAGGTATACATGCAATCCACAATTCCACATTACTCCAAGGCTAAGCACATGCTGGTTGACTTCCCATAATGAAACTACCAGTCTTCTCATTTCTTATTTCTTATTTCTTATTTCTGTTTGTACGCAGCTGATTGTACACTTGTCAAACAATGAACACCACTCACGTTTACCTGTGTTGCTTCCTTTGTTTTGCATACGCCGCTGATTTTTTTTTATTCCTTTAAATTTCTATTGTTGAGTTTCTTTTTGATAGATTGACGTGAGCAACGAACAACCATCGAATCATTTTTCTTATTATTCTCAATTTGTGGGCTTGAAATGGACCAAATGAATCTTTTTATAGTTGCATGCATTTGTTGAAAAGAAGAAATATAAGCTTGAATACTTATTAAAATGATTATTTATTTTATATTATATTTTTAATTTTTTTATTAAGCTAAAGTGATTATAAAGTAGTATACGTTCTAAATACTTTCAATCATTTGACAATGAGCGCCCAATCACCTTATTACAGTCACTGGTACTCAAACTCATTACCTTTAGGAATAACGATGATTCTTTTAACCACCAAAATAAGTTGGGTTGTGCTATTTTTAAAGTATTTTAACTCAACCTTTCATTTAGGATAAAATATTTAAAATATTTAAATGAATATTTATTTTAGCTCTTAATTTTTTTTTTCTCGAGTACTATAGCCCTCATGTTTTATTTTAGGGTAAAAAAATCCTTATATTGGAGAGTTAATAATTTATTAACTTATAATTTTCATTCATAGAGAATCCTTACCACTACTCTCAAGCTTGCTTGGTGTGCCTACATTTACATTCTATGGGAAGAACGTAATCGAAGGATTTTTACAGGATGCTCCCGATCCAAAGACGAGCTCCTTGTTTGTATTAAAGATCTTGTAAGTATTAAGCTTAGAGGGAAAAGAATCAATAGGAATGATAGAGTCAACTCTCACCTCTGTTTTTCATGGGGGATTGACTAACTGATCTGTTTTTTTTTATATGTTGAATGTATTTTTGTTTGAGATTGGTATTTTTTTTGTAACAAACTTTGCTTTACGGGGTAATAAAGATGAATTATCCAAAAAAAATAAAATAAAATGTTAAAAGTTAAAATATTTTAAAATATATATAAACAAAAATAATTATTTAATCAAAAATTAAAATATTTTCTTATCTAGAGATGATCGATAATCTAAAAAACACCTTTTATAAAAAAGATTTTTAAGATTTTTTAAAAATCTTTTGAGACATATAATAATTTTTTTAAAATCTTTTATAGAAAAAGACGACCTATAAAGACATTAGTATATTGACATGTTGACAAGTAGACAAAAAACACAAATCAAAATATATATAATATGTAATACCCTCATACCGATACGGGTAGCTCGATCTGATATGAGGTGTCACATTAGGATCATCAGAGCGACCAACACTAAAAATCCAAGAAATATTAAAAATTTTGTTAAAACATGTAAAATCATAAAACAATTTATAAATAAAATACAAGTTCAGAAAATCATGCATATATTACAATCAAAATTAAAAACATACAAGTTTAAGACTCGGCATAAAAATCAAATGCGACCTACATGCCCCTAATTACGCTTGTACCGTACTTTGCAAGCCAAGCTAAATGAACTCCCATTACTGAAGTCGATAGTTGCATTGGATCAATTCTTTTAACCTGAAATGTTGAGTAAAAGAGTGAGCTTTACGGAGCTCAGTAATACATAACTACTAGGTGATGTTGAAGGACATGCAGATAAATGACAAGCATAAAAATTTCTCATTGATTCAAGCATATACATGTTTTCGTGATGAGCTGAGGTTCCACTGATATTTCTTCAGGTAACAGAAAATTATCTTATAGCTCTAAGGAAACATTCAGAAGACCAGGTTCAGAGATTGAAACAGATGTCTAGTATGTTCCCTCAAAACAATAGTAATTTATTTCATTAAAAAATGTTTTTAAAATCACTATAGTACACTCCATCTGAATACTCCATGTGAAATTCCCCAGGACATCATCCATAAAACTTACCCTAGACCTCTAAGATCTAAGAGTCCAATATGAATGATCAGAATAGAAAGGATTTACCAGCTAGTTGAACCTCATAGACTCCAAAATCCTACCCAATCAATACCCAATAAAACAATTTCAGATAGAACCAGTAATATAAAAAAATTAGAGTTGGGTTTTTATTTAAAATACAAAGTTTCCCTCCAACCGTACACCAAATGCAATACCCCTGAACAGACATCCATAAGAACTTACTATAGACTCCTAGGATCTAGGAGTCCAATATGAATGATCAAAACAGAAAGGATTTACCAGCTAGCTGTACCTTAGAGTCTCCAGACACCTACCCAGACAGTACCCCAATAAAACATATCAGATAGCAAAAAATAATATCAGAAATCAAGAGCTAATTGTACCTCGTGTCAGAAATTAGAATCAGATATTAGAAATCAAACTTTATATAAATCAATAAAACATTTTTTTTTGTTAATGGGGAACACACTAGAGGATCCAAATATTTTTCGAATGTGCTTGGAAATTATCAGGAATAGAAAATAAGAACATACGCAAAATTGATAGGATTTCAGGATCGATGTCCCTATTAAAAAAGTTTAATTATTAACCAATCTAAACAAACATTCAGAGTTTGATGCTTTAGGACCATTTAGGATTTTAGGTGTATCAGAAAGGTATTTAGGAACCTTTACATCAGAATAAATTAAGACTTAAGATATAACCAGAGCGATTCCATTATTTAGGCCATCAGGGGTCTTTCAGATTTCGTAACCGTCTTTCGGTTGAGCCCCGTAATTGGGCGTCGACTTGAAAAATGTGGATTGGAGTCACCACCGATCATTTTAAAATGAATTTAGGTGGGTCGGACACCATCTTACCTGATCTGTGTTTTTACCAGAAATGTGTCGGGTTCGGGAGTCGGTTACGGCAAGGAAGGATTAGCACCCTTGAACCGCCCTTTCGGTACCAATTAATTTGTCGGTTGTCTTAGTTGCGAAAATTTGAAATTTAAATTAAAATTTAACAGACCCGATTACTTACAATTGATTGATTTGAATACCCTTAAAAGATAAAAACATTAGATTCGTAGCGGAGTATAAAATCGAATTAGGATAGCAAGTGCGCAAACGTGAGAATAATAAATAAATAAATAATGGAAAATAACAAAACATGTAAAAAAAATAATAATAAAATAATAAAAATAAACAAAATGAATAAAATGTTAAAAAAACAAAGACACAGATAAAGGGGAAAAATTAATGGAGTAAAAAAGTAAAAGAAATTAAAAAAAGAATAAAAATAATGTGTACATATAAAGTAGTATTTACTAAAACAAATAAAAATAATAAATATATAATACTAAGTAAAAAAAAATAAAGATATACATGATATTAAGAAAAAAATATATAATATATATAAATAAATAAAAACAAAAATAGAATATTAAGAATATATATATAAAAACGTATAAAATATAATATTAAGAAAAAATATATACATAGTAAATGGAGAAAAAGTAATACATCTATATATATATATATAATATGATATAAGATATACATAATAAAAATAATATAATATAAATAAAAATTATAATTAAATATATATATAGGAGACGAAATTAATATAAGAGTAAAATTAAAGGGTAAATTTCAAGGTAAATTAAAGATTAAGATTGACTTAGGGGGAATATTAAATACTTTAAAAAAAATGAACATGCCTCGGGAGTAGATCTAGGTTCGAAACTTCGAAACCCCACCCCTTTTTGGTCATCGGCGCAACCCACGCTTTGGGTTATTCAAACCAAATCTCAAGAAAAATAACATGTACATGCGAGAAATGAACGAATCAATGTAAAAAAAGATGATACCTTTTATTTCATTTTTGAATCGTTTACAATAGATTTGCCTTTGTATTTTTTCGTGCTTTCCTCTGTATCTTGTATATAAATCCGTGTGTTACAAATGGGGATGATTACATGTATTTATAGTAAAAAAACTAACTATTTTTAGAATCCTATTAACAATAGAATCCTAATGCAACTAGATTCCTTGCTCGGTTGTTGCACGTTTGTTGGTGTGGTTGTTGCTTTAAAAGATATGGTGGTGGAAGAGTCCTCTTAGGAGATGAACTCTTGCTAGTTCTATCTTTTAAGAAAATGGGTGTCTACAGCTGCCCCTCTTTGTTTTTTTTCGTGGAACGAAAAATAGGACAAAGATAAAAAGACACAAATTTTTGTTCAGTGGAGTTAAAGAATAACTC